CCTGATGTTTATCGTGGCTAGAAAAGGCCGCGATTTTTAAAGCAAGATTCCAGTATTACCGGTTCCATGCACTGTCTAACATCTCAGCTCGGCTGCTTTCCCCGCGTCAAGATGGGGGGCTGGATCACTGGCCCATGACACATCTGAGACCTCCCGGAAAGCCGACTGCCACGCAGCTAACCCTGCTGTCAGTTAACATTCCAGAAACACTTGGGCAGGCAGGTTTTACAGCTGTCCCCACAGGTCACAATAGGTGATATTCCTAGCGAAGATTTTCCTCCGCATTCCAATCCCAGTACAGCGAGAAGGTCGTTCTCGGGTTGAAAAACACTCCTTGATGTCATAGGGGGACGTGCACGACTTCACATGCTCGGCCCCAGCACCCACACGAGTCCGAGTCTGTGGTGCAATCTCAGCACAGCCCCACTTGGGGAGAAGAGCCACCCTGCCCATGTCAGCAGCACTGGCCCAAGCACCGAGTTCGAGTGATGGGCTGGGGTTATTCCAGGTGGCCGGCCCATTGATCCTACTGCATGCAGAAACTGGGGGCAGGAGTGGGGTCGTGCACGTGGCTCGAGGGAAAAGAAAGGCTCGGTTATCCCCCTTCGCTTTTCCACCTCCCCTTCCATAGACGGGGTGGTCCGGCGGCTGCATCTGGGTTGAGAGGCACACGTCGGGTTTTTGTAGAACTGAATAGAAAGGCAGTAGGAACCCCGAAAACATGAGGAAAGAGACTTGACTTTTTTAAAACCAGAGGTAGTATTGATAAGATAAAGCCCGTCCTGTCAGTAACAAAGCCCCTGGAAATAGAATGTTCCGGAAATCTGGCCATATCCCCAGACTGCCCGGCTGCCTGCGGGAGCACGCTTGGGCTGTTTCTTCTCTTTATTCCGATGGCACAGCCGCTGCTCAGAGCCTGTCCACACTGCCCGGGCAGCAGAAGCACACCTGAGGCCCTTGCAGCCCTGTGGGGTCGGCCAGTTCTCATCCGAGGCAGCTGCCAAAGTGGAGCAGACCCTGGCTCCGCTCCCGACTCTGGGCTCTGAGCTGTCCGCCCCGCCACGTCTGCCTGCCAGACACTGACTTCCCCAAGGTGTCCATCCTGAAAGGGACACGGTGAGAACTCCCCAGGGAAAGGCCGGGCGGTGCTGCCCCCACGCGGTGTTCTGTTCACAGTAAATACCTCGCCATCAGTGTGGGCTGGTCGAGGAGCCCCGTCCGTGCTGTCAGGGTCTCCCACAGCTCTTACAGCCGTTCTGTCCCTTCGATATTTATGAGACACCTGACGCTGTGCCCGCCCCTCTGGCGTGGGGACAGATGGTGTGCAGAAGGCAGTGCAGACACGCCGGCCTCCCATTCCACGCCGTGCTGAGCGCAAGGCCCGGCAGACGTGGAGCCCCAGCCCGGGTGCTGGTCCCTGACTTGTGTGCAGAACGGGCGTCAGGACAGCCACGTGTTCTCCTGGTCGCCCGTGGTGACACTGGCTGTGCACAGCTGTGAGCACCTGGCAGGCGCAGCTGCGGTCTCCCGGCCGAGTGCCCCACGTCTGCCAGCCTGCTGAGTTACTGAGCGGCTGTCCTCGGCCTCCGCCCCTTGGGACGCGCGGCTCTAGGAGGGAGATGCCCCAGGCTCCTTGCCTCTGGAGTTGTGTTTTTAAGGCAGTGACGCGGGAGATGTGCAGGCAGTGATGAGATGTGGTGGGCACGTCCCTGGTGGGCTGTGGGGGCTCGGTACGGGCGCTGGGTCTAGGCTGGGCAGGCTAAGCCTTCCCCGATGCATCTCACTGGAGTCCAGGTCACCACTGCACTGTCACACACTTCAGCCACCAAGGGCGAAAAACTGGCCCCCTAGGGCAGGGCCAAACCACACGTGCAACCCGCTGAGGCCCGCAGCAGCAGGTCTGGGTGGTTGGTCTCAGAGATGGCCACGCTCTTCTCAGGGGGCCTGTCTGTCCAGGCTGTCTGGGGAGGAGGTTGCACGTTGCTACCTTGAAAACCACCGGCCGCGTGGCTTCCCGGGCCCTGCCCGTGGGGGTGGGAGCCCACGGAGCCTGCAGAGCAAGTCACCGCCACGCCGGGTCGTTTTCAAGTGCTTCTCTCACAACATTAAAAGAAATATTTTTTCTGGTTTATTAAGATTAAAAATAAAGTCGTAAGTTTTGATTTAAGATCGAACTGTTTCTGGTTTCTGTTATCCGTTGTTCTGGGTCGTTCAGAGGGGGCGTCCGCGGCACGAACATCTCAGAAAAGGCCGCCCCCACCTGGGGCCCCAATATGCTCCCAGAGCAGACGCGTCACAGCGCCTCCTGTGTCCGAGGTCCAGCAGTCACGTTGTCTTCTGAGGCGCCTAAACCTGCCAGGCGTCCAGCCCACCTGCGGTGACGTCGGCAGCTCACGGGTGCTGTCCGCACCCCTGAGCTCGCCTGCGGGGCCTGCACTGGGCAGTCCGAGGGCATCCCCATTTCACAGAGGGAGACGTGCTCGTCAGCTCCGGCGTCACTGGAGTGCGAATGAGGTCAGCCTAAGCTCACCCTCAGTGGCACGGCGGCTGACCGGCCTGTTGAGCAGCGCAAGTGAGGTCGCAGCGCCCTGCCCAGCGTGGCACCTGTTTCAGGCAAAATGGGAGAGCGCGCTGCCCTGGGGGTGGCGGCACATGGCACCCCGCCCACTGCCTGCAGCCAGGCCGGCCGCCCACGACG